ACAAGTCGCGTTGTCGGGACCACTATCCGAGCCGCCGGTTTTTTAAGGGTTTACCGTTTTTTTTTATTTTGTTGCGTTTTGCTGGCTCTTTTTTTGTGTATGTCTCCTTTGTTTTCAAGTTGTCCACGCCCGCTGAAGGTGACCCTGTAGTATACATACAGGGTGGACCAGAAAAGAATTTTTACACGGACGCATTTGTCAACAATTGATTATTCTGAATGTGCTTTTATATACCATATTTACTCAAGTCACAGGCACTGGTTTTTTTTATTAATAGCAAAAAATGTTCAACACACAAAAAACAATGGTGTGGATCATAGATGAATAACTGCAATAAATGTTGAATCTTTAGATGACATATAAGTGCATTCAAAATAATTCAAGCAGGTGAAATACTGTATGCCATATGATAACATAAAACAAGATTGATTAGCCCTTGGATGGCAGAGGGTTCTTTTTCATTGTACAGCAGAGTTGGAATTTCTTTAGAGGCTGGCACATGTCAGTGTGATCCAAGGTCACTGAAATGCTCCCAGGTTGAGAAGGCCCAAGTCAGGAAAAATCCCAGAGGCATATTTTCTATTGTTTTCAGAATTGTCCCATGCAAATCCTATGCCAGAAATGCACAACAAAATGCCACACAGTGAAAGATTTTTTTACTTTTCATTCAAACTTTTGTGAAAGATTAGAAAAATAATGGACCTTTTTCCAACTTTAGGCCCTGGTCCAAAACTAAGATTTTTAAAATTTCCAGTGCTCACTGGACAATTTTTTTTTTTTTTCAAAAATATCCCAACTATGCTGCGCAAGGGTTAAAGTGGATAACTGAATCCATGTTCAATTTATACCTGATATCAAATTACAATATAGTTCATTGCTGAAAAAAGGTAATTAATAACAATTTTTGGGAACTCAAGAGTACAGGGTACATCTAACCTCTTATCATCAGGAATATATTTTTCTGAAAATTTTAGTCCTAAACATATTCAGGTGTAAGTCTTATTTGAGATTGTATGAGTGGTATTCAAGTCCTTTTTTGTATCACATAGGTCTGAAATGTCAGTCTCAATAATTCCAACGTTTTTTAGGAAGTAGGAAAATTCAATCCAAATGGCCCCTTAACTGCATATTCTTTGCTGCAGAACAGCTAATTATTCAAGCCTTTTTTCAAATTTATTTTTAACTTTCAGAGTGAGAGGATCATCACTCTTCCTTTCAATTCAAATTATGTCTATTGTGATTTCATTTGTGTGCACATATTCTGTTTTGTTGATTGTCTTCTCTTTTTTGGTGTGAAGAATTTTCGTGGTTCCTTGTGATTTATTTTGAATACAATAGAAACAGCTTGATCTGACAAAAGTAGGAAAATTCAATCCAAATGGCCCCTTAATTGCATATTTTTTTGCTGCACAACAGCTAATTCTTCAAGCCTTTTCTGAAATTTATTTTTGGGTCTTCGCGCCTTAACAACTCATAACCATGAAAAATGCGTCCATTGTTTTTTTTCCGTACTTTAATTCATCAGGAGATAAACATATAAAAATCGGTCCATGGTTTTTTTTTGGTCCACCCTGTAAAGTAAAAGCAAGGAAGGGGGAAAAAAGTACGTATACACCAGCAGTTAACCTTCCTTTCGTCTCTTTTCTCAAAAACCAGTCATCGAAAGAAAGGAAGGATAAGAAAATAAATAAATGAATCAACCAAGCGGTGCTCTGCCGCATTCTTCACCACCGCCGCCGCCGCCGCCGTGCAGCAGCAGCGGCGGCAGCGACAACAGCTGCTGCTACTCTCTTTTCTTTGGCAAAAAGGACTACCTAAAAAGCAGTGAACAAAAAATGGTTGTCGACGACGCTGCCGGCACTGCAGCTGCTGCTGCGCGAAAAGCCAGGTTTTTTTAATTGTTTTAAATAAAATAAAAACACTGCAAAAAGCAGTGGAACGATGAAAGAAAGATGAAGAAAACCGGAAGCAGGAACAGAACCACCACCAGCACCAACATATACGCTAATGGCTCGCATAGCTCGAGCCGAAAAATATATATATTGAACAATAAATGAAATAAAAATGAAAATAAAACTTGGCGGCGGCCAGGGTTCGTATTAAGAAGGAAGACAGATTGGTTGGACAGACAGAAATGAAGTGGAGTACAGTATATAGGCTTCTTTTCTTTTTTTTTTTTTAGGAGGATAAAAGAAGGGGTTGATGGGATGGGGTTTGAAGATGACTCACAGAAGAGCACCGCCACGAACTCGTTCTCGAGGTGCTAGAAGAGGTCTTACCGCCGTAAGTGGAGGAGCTAGACCAGCCCGTTCAGGTACCGCAGGTCTGAGCACTCCTTGAGCTCGTGGAAAAGGAGCAGGTAGTCCAGTGGACATTAAGTTTAAAAATCGAATTCGATTCAGTGGGGTTTATAAAAAAAAAACAGATGAAAAACACACTTATATATTCGACTGTTATACACAACAGAATTTTTAAACAAATTATTTTTCTCCAATTTTAAAAGCACACTTGTTGCATGAATTAAATGCAACCTTTTGTCTGCCTACAAGCTTGTAATATAAATTGTGATTTTCATTCAAGTTACTCATTGAAAATTTGCCTGGCCACAAACAAATATACCCATATTTGCTTGAGTACCACGCGCCCCTGAATAAGGCGCGCACAGGGGATTTTCAGTTGTAAATTTGGCTAAAATCTTATCCCCGAGTAAGACAAGCACCCCAATTTTTAGTGTATCTAAAACCATAAAATTTCAAAAATAAAAGCAAAAAATTTGACTTTAGGCATGAATTGAACAAAAATCCGATCACTTTTCAACTTTTTCAGTACAAAAATGTTTTCTTGTTATATTTGTTCCAAATTTCTCCATTATAATCAAGTATACTGCACACATAACTTCCTGAAACTTCTCGAAAATTTTGTACCTGCTTATGATGTGCACCCTTTTTTTTCTGAAATTTGGGAAAAAAGGTGTGTGTGGTACTCAAGTAAATACAGTATACCAAATTTACTCAAGTACTTTGTGCCCTCAAGTAAGGCGCGCACAGGGGTTTTTCAGTTCAAAATTTGGCTAAAATTGCATCCCTGAGTAAGACACGCACCCCTATTTTTAGTGAATCTGAAACCACAAAATTTTGCAAATAAAAACAAAAATTTGACTTTAGGCATAATTTGAACAAAAATCTCAGCAATTTTCAACTTTTTCAGTACAAAAACATTTTCTTGTTACTTTTGCTCCAAATTTCTCCATTATAATAAAGTATAATGCACACATAACTTCCAAAAACTTCTTGAAAATTTTGTACCCACTTATGACGTGCACCCCTTTTTTTCTTCTGAAATTTGAGAAAAAAGGTGCATGTGGTACTTGAGTAAATACAGTACTTGATGGTCATGATGAAATCAGATAACCAGGGTATTGCCTTGTGGCAAATTGAATTGCCTTTTCTTTCTGTGTTCTTTGAATTATTTTAATTGTATTTTTTTTAAGCAACAGCTGTTTTGATCTGATATATGCTGGTGCTTGTCCACACATGCAGAACTGGTTATTTTGATTTTATCTGTAACAGAATTTGCTATTGTTTTGCATAATGTTGCTTCAGTGAATTTTGCATGTGGAAATCATGAATTAGAGTTATTCTCACTAAAAACGGCATGGAAGCACGCTGTTCATTTTTTTCTCTTGGTTGAAACTAACATATAATGCTGAAGTATCTAAAGAGAACTTCTAACATATATTGCTTGCAAGCTGCATAAACGCTCCTACACTTCATTTTACCCAGAATTCAGAAAAGTTGTGCTATTTGTAGATAAAAACGAGTCATACACATTTTTCTACGTAACTTGTTGTGCAGGAACATGTATAAGGGCGCAGATTGACAATACAGTCCATACAGAATATTTTCCAAGAAATCTTCTGGATTCTATACAATGTAATAAATTTGTTGACTGCTTGGATTCAGCATGACGATTTCTGAATTTTTTCTCCCAATTTTTCTTCTTGCCTTTTGAGCCAAGAAATTGTGATCCGATTTCGTATATTGGTATATCTGGTATATTTACACATTTAACAAATGTTAATCACGAGAAATTTAGAGAGATTGCCTCGAAAATAAAATCTAATACATAATCGTTTTCAGCCAAAACCTTTTTTGCTGGCGGTGTAAGTCAAATTTGTTTCCCTTACACATAGTTTCAAAATTTTACTATATTTTCCTCGTTACTGTTCTCCCATATTGCCTGAAAATACAGTTTGATTCGGAGAGAATAATAACTGATTTCAAAGAAAAGACAAATTTTTATATTCTTCTGTTTTCTGTTGTATTTCAAGAGTACAGTATCTGAAAATTGGTCATATTTCACGGGTACAGTATATTTAATGGAATCCCAAAAAAAACGCAGGTCATGGACAGGATTTCTTCCAGCCACTAAATTAAAATTGAAATAAAAACTTTTTCTGATCAAAACGTTTTCTGAATCAGATTTCTAAATTTATTCAACTGGAGTATTTTCAGAAAAATACTGAAACAAAATTATTTTTTTCAATAGCATAATATTGCAACATATTTAGGAATTACAGAAGCAAAGATTCTCCTGCATAAATAACTTTGTTTATTGCTAACAATACAAGGAAAATTTAAAAAAAGCATGAAAAAGTAATTTTCAGGGTTGTACAATATTTCGAAATCTTTAACATTGTAAGAATGGAGTTTTGGTTGGGAACTTGAGAAAAATTGGTCACAATTAAAATGTTGTTGTAAGGGTGTTTTTTATACAATACATGATATTTACCTGTACCTACGACATGAGAAAAATGGATAGACTCTTCTGGCTTATAAAAACAGAATTTTACAAAGGGATTTAATTCTTTAATCAATAAGAATAAAAATAGGTGCAGCTGTTGGGAATAAATCCCGACAAGGTAAAGATTAGAATTTAGGATTGAGAGTTTGTAAAGTGAAGTTTAAATAAAACACNGGGTTTGAAGATGACTCACAGAAGAGCACCGCCACGAACTCGTTCTCCTCCACGATCTTCTCCAGAATGGCGGCATTCACCTCCTCGATCTGGTCGGGCAAGTCCATGGCGTCCAGACTCGTGAGGAACTCGAGCACCTTTTCCTCGTCCATCAGGTCACCTGTAATTCAAATTGAATCGAATTCCGATTCAGTGGGGTAAAAAAAAGATGACACTTGAAATTTTTCTTAGAACCCTTGTATGTTAGAAGTTCCCTTCAGAGACTTTAGCATTATATGTTAGTTTCAAGTTTCAACCAAGAGAAAAAAATGAAAAACGTGCTTCCATGCTGCTTTTCGTGAGACTAACCGTTTTTAGTGGCCTACAGTTGAGCTGAAAAAAAGATTTTCTCGAAAGAAGTTTTCCCTAAAAAGAACACTTGAATATTCAACTATTATACGCAACGGTAACTATAAACAAATTATTTTTTTCCAATTTTAAAAGCACACTTGTTGCATGAATTAAATGCAACCTTTTGTCTGCCTACAAGCTTGTAGTATAAATGGTGATTTGCACTCAAGTTACTCATTGAAAAGTTGCCTGGCCACAAACAAATATACTGTATTTACTCAAGTACCACGTGCCCTTGAGTAAGGCGCGCAGATGGGTTTTTCAGTTGGAAATGTTGCTAAGATCTTATCCCTGAGTAAGACATGCACCCCTATTTTTAGTGAATCTGAAACCACAAAATTTAGAAAATAAAAGCAAAAACTTGAATTTAGACATGAATTGAACAAAAATCTGATCAATTTTTGACAGTTTCAGTACAAAAACGTTTTCTACAATGTAAACGAGGTTTAAAGAGGTAATATTAGTTCATATTACGTGTGTATTGAAGGTTTTTGAAGAACTTTTTAAACATGGACCTTATGATGTGCACCCCTTTTTTTCTTCTGAAATTTGAGAAAAAAGGTGCATGTGGTACTTGAGTAAATACGGTACTGTACTTGATGGTCAAGATGAAATCAGATAACCAGGGTATTGCCTTGTGGCAAATTGAATTGCCTTTTCTTTCTGTGTTCTTTGAATTATTTTAATTGAATTTTTTTAAGCAACAGCTGTTAATTTTGATCTGATATATGCTGGTGCTTGTCCACACATGCAGAACTGGTTATTTTGATTTTATCTGTAACATAATTTGGTATTGTTTTGCATAATGTTGCTTCAGTGAATTTTTCATGTGGAAATCATGAATTAGAGTTATTCTCACTAAAAACGGCATGGAAGCACGTTGCTCATTTTTTTCTCTTGGATGAAACTAACATATAATGCTGAAGTCTCTAAAGAGAACTTCTAACATATATTGCTTGCAAGCTGCATAAACGCTCCTACACTTCATTTTACCCAGAATTCAGAAAAGTTGTGCTATTTGTAGATAAAAACAAGTCATGCACATTTTTCTACGTAACTTGTTGCGCAGGAACATGTATAAGGGCGCAGATTGACAATACAGTCCATACAGAATATTTTCCAAGAAATCTTCTGGATTCCGTACAATGCAATAAATTTGTTGACTGCTTGGATTCAGCATGACGATTTTTGAATTTTTGTCTCCCAAATTTTCTTCTTGCCTTTTGAGCCAAGAAATTGTGATCCGATTTCGTATATTGGTATATCTGGTATATTTACACATTTAACAAATGTTAATCACGAGAAATAATCTCTCTAACGGAGCTTTTATTTTAGATTATGTATTAGCAAAAGTCGGTTTTGGAAAAAACGACCGCCACATTCAGTTTAAACAAAGGGAATGTGTATCAAAGTTTTAAAATGATATAAAAGGAGATTATTGTTCTCCCATATTGCCAGAAAATACAGTTTGATTCGGAGAAAATAATAACTGATTTCAAAAGAAAGACAAATTTTTATATTCTTCTGGTTTCTGTTGTATTTCAAGAGTACCTGAAAATTGGTCATATTTCACGGGTACAGTATATTTAATGGAATCCACAAGGAAAAACGCAGGTCATGGACAGGATTCCAGCTTTCAGCCACTAAATTAAAAATTAAAAAAAACGTTTTCTGATCAGAAAGTTTTCTGAATCAGATTTCTAAATGTATTCAACCCGAGTATTTTCAGAAAAAATCCTAAACAAAATTAGTTTTCAATAGCATAGTACTGCAACATATTTAGGAATTACAGAAGCAAAGATTCTCCTGCATAAATAACTTTGTTTATTGCTAACAATACAAGGAAAATTTTAAAAAAGCATGAAAAAGTAATTTTCAGGGTTGTACAATATTTCGAAATCTTTAACATTGTAAGAATGGAGTTTTGGTTGGGAACTTGAGAAAAATTGGTCACGATTAAAATGTTGTTGTAAGGGTGTTTTTTATACAATACATGATATTTACCTGTACCTGCGACATGAGAAAAATGGATAGACTGTTCTGGTTTATAAAAATAGAATTTTACAAAGGGATTCAATTCTTTAAACAATAAGAATAAAACTAGATGCAGCCTTCTAAATTCGATCAAATGCCTTATTTTCACATAATTCCTCCTGATCAAGAGAATCTTCCCATGTACAAAACCTCATAATGTTGAGCAAATCTTGGGCATAAACCTAAACTGAAACACATACGAGTCAGAGTTATTTTGATGATAGTTTTTTAATTTTATCAATCAAGATTTAGAGGAAAATTTTTGAAGCTCAATATAAATTTGATGTTTTGTCATTTCGGAATGAAGAAACTGTCAATTAGGTAGCTCTCGTGTAGAGACTACTACTATCTACAGTTTTTGACAGCTTTTAATTTTATTTAGAAAATTTAGGTAACGATATTAAACTTTTTACTCAAGTTTGACTACTTCAGGATGTGAGCTTACAAGAGAATAATGCCTGATTTTATTTATTTCAGAAATCGTTTTTTTAAATAGAAAATCTGCTCATTTTCTCGAACTGATGACAGAAGCGAAAATAAGTCAGTACTACGAATTCTGAAAAGAGCCGGCAGCAGGATCGAGACCAGGAAATGACAAAAAAAAGATATTCACAATGTTTTGTCTTTTTCAAGTACATCTTCTACCATATCAGGAAAAATCATTCAACTTTTAGGCAGAAATAGCAGAGATCCTTCTGGTATATGATTATACATAATTCAAAATTCTAGATGGAACGCATGCTTGCTTCTTATGGCCAGTGAAATCTTTAAAAAAAATACATCAAACTTGATCTATAAAGTACTGTATATAGCTGAAGAATTTGCTTTCTATGGTACCTCGCATAAGCTTTCACTTTCTCTTTCTAAAAAAAAAAAAAAACTGTACACGCTTCTCTCAATTTTTCCGTTCCTTTTTTTTTTACTCGCCTTCATAAATGATGGGCTCCTGATTGCGAAAATATTGCAGGGCTGGGAAGGTCGTGATTCCGTGCTGTTTGGCGACCTTTTTGTCGCCCACCTTGACAAAATCGACGCCGAAATCGTCCGTTTCATCGTCAATCTTCTCCAATTCTGCGAGTGCCTTTTCGCACGCCCCACACCGTTTTGTATCTGCAAAAAGCGTGACAAAACATATCATCAACAATTTTCATGAATTCGTTTTTATACGTTACTGAATTTCGGGATAGATCTGATATTGCTTATTCCTGGATCATACTCGTATGTTTGAGCGCTTCTACCAGCATTTTACAAAGAAAAATGACATTCCAAATGTCAGTTTCCATGATAATGTACTGTACTGGGTAACCCCAAGTTATAATGAGCTTTGTGATCTGGAACAGCTAGAACAGATTTTGACAGAAAATATCCAATTTATAAAACCTTGAGAGGACCACAATAAACTGTTAACTTTGTATTGAAGATTCTCTATAAATTGTTCAATCAGCTAAACCTTATCTGAGAGTAGGCTAAACACCTTGTGCTTCAATTTGTGTTCAGTAATTGCCTCATGTCATGATTTTTATTACTGATTTTTTTGTTTTTCTTATCAGGGATGGGAAGAAAGTGTATGTATTTACATATGTTGTGCAATTTCACATTTTGGGATGTTTTTTCTTTTTTTTTTGAATGTCCATATGCAACTTTCTTTCTGTTTTCCATTTTGATCTGATAGGATGTGTTTGGATGAATGTGGGGGGGAGGGGTTTGGATGTGGGAATGTTGCTTCAACCTTGTGAATGCTGAAAAGCAGAAAATAAAGCTGTTGTTCAATTCAATTCAATAAAACCATGAGATCTCAAAATAACAAACTAGATGTGCTTGAAATTTACATCCTGGTAGAACATTCAAAAAACTGCAAAAAATATATTGCTTCCCACCACGTCTGGCGAAGCAGTCAATTTTCATAAATTGTTAACATATCAACAGGAAAGATTTTCCTACATGAAGGATGCCAAAAATCAAAGGTAATCATCCATAAACCCCTGTTCCAAGTTGTTCCACATTCAAGACACATACAGAAAGTTTTTTCTTTTAATGCCCTGTCTACTGCTAAAACTGGAAATAGCCATTGAATGGAATGTAATGTTTCACAGTATTTTCAAAAACATGCAGAATTGATTAAATGTAGTATGAAACAGATCTGTTCTGTTAGCTGATTGGGTGGTTGTCTGGTGGCATGATTTCCTGCATCCTGGGTTTTTGTGTGAAGGTGCATGATGATTTTTGTGCTTCCTGCTGGTTTTCACCTAGGTGGGGGTTTATGAACTTATTTATTTTCCTTTCTGTTTTTCCCTTGGATTTTGTTTCTGGTACACTGATGTGGGTTGTCCTAATTTTAAGGTAATTTTTGGGCAGTTTTGGAGACAGCAGCTTGCTTAGCAGGAACAGACATGACATGACATCATTTTTTTAAAGTGTTCATTCAAACAGTTTTTTTGACCATTTGATGAAAGGACTATAAAACAAAAAGCAATTTGAAACAGAATTGAATAAGCTTTGATTTGGCCTCTTTTCATTGATGGAGCTTAATTTTTAATGGAGATATATTTTAATTCAAAGATCACTTCACTTTTTTGGCCCAACCTGTATATTGGCATGGCATGCATGGTTTCTTTTTGTCTATTATTCACTCTTGTTACGTAAAAAAGCCAAATATCCAATTATCTCCTGCCTAAAATTCAACGAAGAGACGCTTTCTGAAATCTTAAAGGATCAAGATACATTTTTGGCCTTATATGATTTCTCATCAAAGATTCTCTCTGAATTGTTCATTGAACTAAAACTCATACAGAAACAGGCTGAAGACCTTGTGCTTTAAATACACTTTTACTGCTGCTTTGTCTTCAATATTGGGGATGGGTGGATGTATGCAGCATAAGTGTAGGATGTCCAGTTTTATTTTGTTGAGTGTGTTCTCTTTTGTTTTTGTCATTGGTTTGTGCTTTGTTTCATGCTTTGAAGTGATCAAATGTCTTTGGGNTCATGCTTTGAAGTGATTGAATGTCTTTGGGGGGAGTTGGGTTGGGTGAGGAGGGGGTTTGGATGTGGGAGTCTTGGTTGTGCCGTGTGAACACTGAAAAGCGGCAAATAAAGTTTTCTGTTCATTCATTCATGCATTTAATGTGTGGATGTTGCCTGTAACAAAATATTGTACACTCATTTGACAAGCATTGCACTGTACTGTATAAAATTTTCACAACTTATTCAAAGCAAGTTCAATGATTTCAATTATGAATACTACCAGACAAAAATACTAAAAGATGACTCACCATTGCAGCTTCATAGGAAGGGTTGAAACAAATCCCATCCCTCATGAGAAAAGGCACAGCCAGAAGTCCAAAGAATCCTCCACCAAAATGTACAGCAACTGCATCCAGTGGATCATCAACTGCACAAAAATTAAAAGAAGAGCTGGTATTACACAGATATCTCTTTTAAAAATAAAAGTGCTTCTTATCCATACTCTCCACTTTCAGCATCAGGAAATGCAGGCACAGATATGTGAATCCTGCCCCAGTGCCAACCAACAAAGCTGCCCATGGGAAGAATGAATCACTTCCAGCACATACACCAACCTTGAAAAATGCAGAAGAATGGTCAATGCAGAATGGACCCCTCTCAACAATAGCATTGTCATCTATAACAACTTTCTCTGAATACCAAGTGTTTTGTCCCAAAGGACTTTTTTCTCATTCTATGGGGGCTCTCTATACATGCAACCCCAGTATGAACCTACAATTCCCTTTTAGAATAATTTTTTTGGTTTTCTGATTTTTTTATAGAGCGTGAGAGAGAAAGAACCCATTTAAATTTGGATATCTTCAGGAATTGAAGGAAAAATGGGGTCTGCTGATATTTTTTTATGGAAAGCAAGCAGGCTATATACAATTTAGAAGCATGTCAAATTACTTAGTGACATACAAAAATAAACCTTGACATTTTTGACTGAGGAACATATGTGAACAGAAGAGGCAGAGTGGAAAACAGACTTCAATTTGAGTCAGGATACCACTCAAAAGAGCATCTGAAAGCCATTGCCCAGATGTTGAGTTAGATTTTATTAGTTTTGAATGTTTCTAAGTTAAATTGTCCATGTGTCAGGGTGTCTTTATGTTGGTGGGAGGGGGTCTCACTATATTGCTTCAAAATATGTTTATGCATTCAATATTAAAGCACTTTAGGGATGCCTTTCTGGAGACAACTTCACAATAAACAAAATAAATAATGTTTTTCTGGATATGCAATTTTTCTCTCTTTTTTTACCATGCCAGCCAGAGCTCCATTCATGGTCATAAGGAATGACCAGGTGTGCACAGCCCCAAAGCAGCCAGCTCTGTGACTCAGTAAAGCTCCAGTGCCTCCACCACAGGCACCCAGAAGTGAGTTGACAATGGCCCTGCTCACCACAGCACCATCACCAGGCCTTGAGATGTGTCCACGGAAACCAGCTGTGAATGCCATGAAGCCAAACAGCAGGATGAAGCCTCCAAGTGCCAACAACTGCCAAAGACATAACATGGAAATAATATTCAATTTTTCTCAATTCTACTGACTTGGTTCATTATCAGTTCAGTATAGCAATGATTTTTACTGTGCATTAAAAATTGGAACACACTTATAAGCTTAGTGTACAGTAATATGTTCTTGTTCATCAGCATGGAAGATATATTTAAAAATTTAAAAAGTTATTGGGAACAGTTATTTCCAATCAAAAAGTACTGGGATCTTCAATTTCAGCAAGTTCCTTAAAATTTTGAATTTTGTTCAATTAACCCAGCGTGATCCCACTTTTATTGCTGGAGGTAATTTTTACAGAATTTGCAAAATGGATTTGAAACTGATGAAAGCAATGCCAAATTATTTATCTTAAACATGCCTTTCATCATGAGTTGGAAATATTGGTGTCTTGTCATTCCTCTTGATTAAGTTCATTTTCTGTCTGAAAGTTTGGCCCAGCACTGTCCACATCTTGAGTCAGTGTTTGTCTTTTTTTAGCCTTATTTTTGCATTCCTTTCTTGAAAAATAACTGTCCCTACATGCGTCAAATTGTCTGCATGATGATGCGCCCAAGTCATGGGGAAATTGGTGCACACTGCGGATATGTTTGTAATTCTACACAGTGACCCTGCTGTGCACCTGAAGTGTACCAAAGTTCCTCTGTTGCACATGCATATCCCTAATGTACACCAATTGTGTGTTCACGCCAGGATTACTCAGGGTCACATTTGTAAACAAATAAGTTACACCAAGGTTACAGTTGGTGCATTTGTGTGATACTCCTGTTCTGTCACATTTGTGTACCAAGTTTAGCCCTGGAATGGTAGCAAAATTTTCTTCTACAGGAGTGCACACTTGTAACCCCAGAATATCCCATATGCACCAGTTGCGACCCTGGTGTACACCTATTGTGGGGTCACAGCAAAAATAGCTCCCCACTCAGGTGCAGTGTCTGCATCTCGGGGGGGGGGGTCTCACTTATGTAATGTAATGCGCATAACTCACTGGCACTGAATGGCCGCGGATGTCTTGTGGCTCGCCGGTTTTCGAGTGGAACCTGTTGAGGCGCGGGCCAATGAGCGCCGCTCCCACCAGGGAGCAAACACCGCCGGTCATGTGCACAACGCCGCCGCCAGCGTAGTCCTTGAATGGCGACAGGCGCAACCAGCCCTCGGGCGCCCAGGTCCAGTGGGATACGATGGGGTAAATCACTCCTGTGCATAAATGCAGTACTGTACTGTATATACATGCAAACGTGACAAAATCATCATCAGCACACGACTTCAATTACATTACGTGTGACATAAGATTTCTTGGCTTCGTGTCTTCCCTTGGAGCGACATCTACAGTTGAACCACGCGAAGATTCCCATCCTAAAAGTCCAGCCGAACCTCTTTCAGTTGAACTTCAAGGAACCCACAATAAGAAAAGAATCACTGTATCAAGTTGGGAGAAAAGAATTGGTGGAAAATCTGACGGAAAAATGAGTTTTTAATTCAAGAAATATGCCATAATTTATCTGATTGTGTGGTGGAAAGTATTTTTTTGGTAGAAATTCCCTAGAGAATTTGTCATTTATCCATACATTTCCTGCCTGCAGCAAGTTGTATAACTACTGCACCTTGCTCAGACATGGGGAAACAATTATGTTTTGTTGAGAAAAAAAAGAAGAAGAACATGACATTGTCATTGGAATCCATTACAGGTACACCTCCCAAATTAGCTGGAAGGCTTTCTCCAAAAACCTTTCTGACCCAAAGTTTCTCTATGCATATAGTTATTGTTTTGAGAACTAAGGAACCAAAAAAAGCATGAAAGCTGTATTTGAGAATCAATTCCAAAAAGTTCATCATCATCATGACAAACATTGAATTGCTTCTTGAATGAGTTGACAGGATGCTGAACTTAGAGGCAAGCATTGATTCGATCAATTGGTCTTTTGGGTCCTTTCAAAACACACCAAGTTGTACTGTTTTGTTGCTTTTATCTCTCCTAATTTCTTTTTTGCTCTAAAAATGGTCAAAAGTTCAAATGTCAAATGTACAGAAAATATTACTTTTAGAGGTTTGAAGGAAAAACGCTTTCAAATTATGGAGATTTAAAATTTGTTTATTGGGAAATTCAATCAGGAACTTTAAAAAATTGGCATAAGAGGAGGTATTTGACCAAGTGGGGTTCCAGTTTTGCTGGAGCTTCAACTGAATTTAAGCCTCATTATATTTTCTATGAATATTAATCCTCATACAAAATTGGTAAAATTTCCCATCAAGTTGTTAATGAATATGATCTGCAGGTCTTCCTTCAATAGAATTACAGTTAATTCTCAATTTTTTTATAGCTTTCCAATCAAGTGCCTCCTGTGCATGCATGAACCACAAATTTTCCTGGTACATGTACAAAACTCCCTCCATTATATTCTGAAGTGTAACCCCAAATTTTAGTGCCAACTCACTCAGAGCCACAAAAATCTTTGTCATGTTTCAAGAAATGGGTAGAAATCAGGTAATCAAAATATTTTTCAATGACATGATTGATTTATTAAACTTATGGCTGAGAACCACATCCCATGCTCACATAAAAAAGAGGATGATGTCAAAAATTATATTTTTGAATTCACTTCAAAAAATATTTGTTCTATCATAAAATAACACTTACCTTAATCGAAAATGTAAGAAAAAAATGTATAAATGCTTTTCTACAAACTTTGGTGATTCCTTCATGATGGCACTTGACAAAAAACTCAAATGCACAGATAATCTTGAGAAGCAGTTTCGATCCATCCGTATAGACATTAAATGACAAAAAGTCTTATACAGTCAACCCCCACACAACAGATTTTTGCAAAACAAACTGCATCTGCATGGAGGCAGTTTTTCCTCTTTCATAACAAATAAATCCACATAACAGACTTCTGTCTGTAGAAGTGTGCACCAGCAGTGGACATGAGTCCCTCATCAGGTTCTCTCTTGCTTCTCAACTTAATTTGAATATAAAACATTATTATTCTTTCTGTGAATGTGTGTGTTGTATTTTTCAGTTCTTTTGGTTGTGATCTTGCTTGTTTTCCATAGAAAATTTGCATAACAGGCTTTTCACAAAACAGAATAGTCTGTTGCATGAATTAAGTCCATTGTGCAAGGGCTGACTGTACTGTATATACACTACACGACTACAGCATCCTATCTTGAAAAATCTTTTATATGCAATATTTTTTTAAAGTTCACAAAATTATTCACTAAATTGCTTCCTCTCTTGTAAAACAGACTGACTGGCCTGACAATTCTGTTTGAACAAGCGTAATTTCCATACAATGGAAAGCTTCAGCTGAACCTCCTTCTCATACAATACCCTGAATGTTGTGCCATAGACTCCTTATGGTGCCCCAAAACTCACCATGACAAATGGTGGTACTGAATTAAGGTTGGATGACTGTGATTTGGATGCACTGTACTGTACATTATTATTCTTGATAATGTGGTTTTAGGCAGTGATCTTCTACAAACATATAAAGCATACAACTGTAAGCATCTTTTTGATGCATTGTTTATTCAGATGAAATTTGTTGGAATTTCACCTGTGATGAGGAAACTGTATGCAAGGTAAGCATAGAAGTTGCAGCGTTCAGCCAGGGAACCAGAGACCAAAGTGGAAGCAGTGGCAGCATGGACAAAGTCAAAGAACCACTGCGCCATCTTGCGGTCAGGAAGACCAACACTTGCAAAGTAGCTCCAACCCATGAAGGCATTGCCTTGACCAAATGCCAAAGGGAATCCAATCAGCCAATAAGCAATCCCTCCCATCACTGAAGAACATTCAATAAATTAAACAATTATATTTTCAAAGATTCAATACTGTAAATAGATTTAATACTGTATTCAATACTGTGAATAGATTTAATACTGTATTCAATACTGTAAATATATTTAATACTGTATTCAATACTGTAAATAGTTTTAATACTGTAAATAGTTTTAATACTGTAAATAGTTTTAATACTGTAAATAGTTTTAATACTGTAAATAGTTTTAATACTGTAAATAGATTTAATACTGTATTCAATACTGTAAATAGATTTAATACTGTATTCAATACTGTAAATAGATTTAATACTGTATTCAATACTGTAAATAGATTTAATACTGTATTCAATACTGTAAATAAATTTAATACTGTATTCAATACTGTAAATAGATTTAATACTGTAAATGCTGGTATTCATAAAAAAGTCAAAGATGCAAAAAGATCTGCTATGCAGAGTGGGCCATTGATATAAAAAATAATCAAATCCTGGTTTAGTTTATTGTAATGAAAAACAAAAAATGTCTCAAGGCTTAATTTTCAAAAATTATCACTTTCATGCTTGAATAAGTACTACATTGTATATATATGCACTTGATTTAAAAATGGATCAACAATCAATCCAATTAAGTGAATCATACATTAAATGCTTGCATTTATTTTACAAGAAAAGACACAAAAATGCAAGAGATAGCATTTTTTGTCATTATGCAACATTTTCTTGAAAGTGTTTTTTTACCTACTAGAATTGTTTGGGACTTATTTTGCAGTTTTTTCTTGCCTTGGCAAACATGTTCAGTTAAAATTTTTAGATTGCTGGAATTTATACACTTCTTGTCCAGAAAATTGCATCAAATTTGGTAAAAGTGTTCCATTCAAGCCAATGTTTTGCCTGAGTAAAAATATGTTAGGCAAATGTTGATATATACAGTATGAAAGTTATTTCTCACTGAGGGATCACACTGGTATATTGAAATAAAAGGTGGATAAGAAAATTTGTCTTACACATGTCCAAAAGGTTCTTTATCAGGATGTTGACAGTGTTCTTGGATCTCACAGCCCCAGCTTCCATGAATGCAAACCCAGCTTGCATGACTATGAGAAGTAAAATCAATCATCATAAAACACTATTACCAACTCCACATTTTCACACAAAATCATCTTTGAAAAGAACTTACAGAAAATTATGATGGACATGGTGACCACAAAGAAATCATCCATGGATTCTTCCAAGTGGATCAAGTGTTTCTCAACATCCTTCAGAGTATCCAAATTCAAAGTCCCATTCTTTTCCATGTCTGCAAATCTGAGATGGTAATTTTCTACAAATGTTCTTTTTTGTTTTTTACCTAGAATGCAAAATTTCAAAAAGCCTCAAAAAGGGGAACCTTATGACTGAAAAATTGTCACAAAAATACTGGATGAACATTTCAGCTAAAAGTTTCACTCACTTGGAAAAACATTGCCTTAATTACACATTTACACATCAGCTAAAAGTGCAGTATTTCATCCAATTTTCAATACATCCAAACTTTCAAAGGTATTTAATGCATTGAAAATTAATTTCAGATGCCCTGATTTCTTCCACTTTCTTTCATGCCAATACAATCTGAATTTACTCTCATTATTCAGGCGTCTGTGACATATACTCAAATTTCAAAACACTTCAGCTTTTTCGCGTCTTTAATATTATTTTCCCTGACTTCTGGCTGAAAAATTGTCACAGAAACACCAAATAAACCAGATGCAATTTTTTTCCACTCTGGAAAAAGTCAGTTCACGCTTCAGCAACGCATATAAGAACAATACTTTTCATGGGGATTCCATCTCTTGAAAAATGAATTTCAGTACAATAAAATCCCCAGAATCAGGACTGAGGCCGCGATTTCTTTCACTTGGGTGCGAAAATTTTTTTCTCATGTATATAACTATGTATATAATCATGTAAAATTCTAAAATAATGCAGATCAGAGGCAACCAAAGTCATGAAGCTCTTCATTGCAACTGGGATGCTTGCCAAGGTTGTGCTTCAGAGAACTCACAAACTGGAAGAAATACCAACAACTTAATCAATGTCATAAACTTTTATGCTTTCATTTTTTTTTATATCACAGAAGGTGCTCCACCTTTTGTGGGAAATATATTAATTTTTCCCTGGAAATGAAAAGAAGGGTCACACAGCAAGAGACAAAAATCAAATAAGTTTTTATTCACCTGGCTGAATAAATCAAGGTTTGATCACAAAAATCTCATAATCAGTGGCAGACAAGATCAATGTTGGTAACACTCAATTCAGAGAGGGATTGCCACATAGTTTCAGGAGGGATGCAATTTTCCTTCCCCCCCCCCCCCCAAAAAAACAGCCATTTCATAGCATAAGAGCCCCATGTGAAGTACAAAACACATCCACACACCCATTTGAATGAACCATATACAGTACATGGTTTTTTCATAATAAAAAATAGCTCTTTACATGACATGAAGCAAAAAAGCAATGTGACCAATTCATATGACTCTTTCATAAAACAAAAGATAGGCCTGAGCTTTGGCCACCTTTTCTGGGCTGACTCTTGAGGTTTGACTGTCTGAAGCATAATACCATACTCCAGGTATGTCATCAGCAGCAGCAGTATGAGTCTCCATTAATGAGACTCTGTCACTCATTGACTCTGATTGCAATTGAGCAAAATAGTTCTTGAAGTGGGATTCAATATCCATGTCCACATTTGTGTTGAGGATGGTTTTGACTTCATCCAAAGTGTGGGCGCGTCTGACTTTCACATAGGCCACATAGTGACCTGCCTTCAGGGACCCCAAGTGCTCCACAACACCAAACAGAGAGTATGTGAACCTTTCTTTGGTTTTTGTCTCTCTTCCAAGTACCTGAAAAAGTTAGAAATTTCCTATTAAAATCAAAGGATTCTTTTATGAAGCAAAAAATGGACCAAACCTGAGATGGAGCAGCACAGTAAGGGGACAAGTCCAGGAGAAATGGGAAGTCCACTTGTTTGGTAACTTTTCTTAAACTGAATGCTCCAGTTTGCTCAAAGCGCTTCAAATGCAGGGTTAGGACAGCTGGGGGAATTAGAATCAAGGCCTGTCTACTTGCATTTGATAAGTGCAGCTTCTTGTTGGTTTCAATTGAAACTTCAGACTGTCCATCATCTATAAGTATAAAAAAGAAATGGATGTTTTCAACAAAAAATAATAAGACACTGTTCCAAAATATTACAGATTAAACCATTTTGTAACCTGTCTCATTAAGACATACTTTTTCAAAGGTCCTGGCAGAAACATCACAGAAAAAATTCTACAAAGGTCTTGTTACAGTATATCACATTTTGGAAGGATTTTGCAATGTTCCTTTTAATGCATATTTCCAAGTTTATCCCTTCTGGCCAAATATATTCCATCTTAATTTTGAATCTAGCAATTCTGATGCTATATACTGTATATACAGCAGGCATGCAAAAATTCAACTCAAAATAAAACCGCACAGCATTGTACCTCCACCTACTAATACTAAAGAATTTATTATTTCATAACTCTGCTGTTTTTGGTGGAACATTTTTCTCCTCCATTCAGCTGAGCTCTTTTCAACTACTTGATCAGTCTCAACCATGGTTAGAAAAATCAGATTTGAAGAATGTAATTAGTGCTCCAGTAAGGAAAAATGTTTGTATAACTATGCATCAGCTCATTTTTTCTCATATGGCAACACTCTTCTTGTGGAATTCCTGAACGTTTTAATGTGAAAATATTTTTATATACAGTACAAAATTTTCTCAAGATTTCAGTTGTGAGGAGGCATAAAGTTCTTAAGGATAAAAATAAGCTCTGTCCTCAAAGCATTTAGTATACATACCATAATCACTGAAGTTGTCTTCTGTAAATTCTTTATTGTTGCAGTTTTGGCACACCACCTTGTTTGATCCAGACATGACCTCAGGGCTAGTGAAATGTGACAACAACACATCTATGTTCAAGTTCTCTCCAGATTTCCAGTGTTTCCTGGGACCAACACTGGCTAAGCATGAAGCAAGCCAAATAATCCTAGCCTTGTCTTCATTCACCTCTGACAAAGACAATCCAACCATCTTTTCATTGATTTGTTCTAGCAGTTTGGAAGTTCCTTGGTCAGCAGTTCCATTATTGAGAGATGCAGTATCAGGGCTGGCATTGGAGGCATCCATGCTTGCCCAACCACTGTCTTGAGAATTCTGTGACATTTGGGATGTTGCACCTGTGCAGGTGGTGTCCTCTGGTGGAACTGGGGACTTTCCTGGTGTTGGCATCAGCATTCCTGAGTCATCAGATGCTCCCTTTATAAAAAAACACAATTGCCATACCTCAATAAAGATGAATACATAACAACAAAATGTCAAGGAACAGATGAACATACAAAACAAAAAAGTGCCTTATTGCAGTGAAACCTCGTTACAAGAGACTCCAGAAAAAATGTTTTCTATTGTACTGTATACTTTTTTTATGATGAAATTTTCAAAATTAAGCACTGGGGAAATTTCCATGTCAGACCTGCTTATAATCAATTAGATCTTGCTTCTCTGACATTCTCAGATTCTTAACTTTTATTGTTTGAAAAATTGAGAGATATTTTGAAAAAGGAATCAGATATAATCAAGCCTTCCATCAGCAGCAGTTGCACCAGTTGCTTCATTTTGAGAGATTGATGTTAAAATCTCTACAAAGTCTACATTATTCTGGGAGGACGGCAAGAACTTTTTACAAACTGATGAACAATTGAACATTCCTGGAAATTTGAAATTTGTCATAATGAGATTTTCTAACATTTACCATATGGGTTTTTGCCAGAACTCAAGAAAACATTTGTCCAAATTAAAAAGCTGTGGTGACAGTATTTGTTGTAATAAAATTTGACTGCATTACTGTTAAAAATCATACATCAAACAATAAAAACAAAAATCAACTTCATTGTAACTCAATGGAACTTAATACTGTATATTATTTTCAACAGATGTAAAGTACTGTACCTCATACCCTCATGTAAAATATGCAAAACTAAATTTCATCATAAAATTTGGGTAAATCCTTTTCCTGAGTAAAATTCACTTCCACATTCTGTGACAATCTATTGAATGTGAATTATATCTATGCACATTGATCATTTGACTGGAATTATTGAACCAAAATCCAATTGACCTTCATTTTGATTTAATTATTCAAATTTTGTTGCACATGGTTAAATATATTTCATGAGTGACTCAAGTGTAGTAAGCACCTACAATGAAGTTCAAAAACTTTGAAACATTGAAAGAAAACATTGGTGATCTTTAACTTCCTTTTGTCCAATGGATTTTTTGCCCTCTTCATTGAAAGAAAAATTGCACAGGGTGTGCAAGTGAAAATATGGTATCATAAACTCAATCTGATGCCGGCATGATTATTTTCAACTTTCTGTAACTTTTATTTGATGCATGCTAATCATTTATTACCCTTTGCCAACTTATTTAGGGGAGTGGGGGCATGGAAAAGAGTTGACTCACAGAGCGCACAGAGTTCATGGAAACAGCATCTTCATTATCCTCATAGTCATTATTGTTGAAGCCCTTCTCAGAAGAAGCATCTGTCATCATCACAGACTCCTCCATCAGGATGTCAGCCATGAAGCTCAAAGAGCTATTGTCAGGTGAGCAAAGGCTCTTTGATTTGCGTCTCAAATTCAACTTCTTATTGTTGGAATGAGTCTCTTTGAGGCTGATACTCTTTGGTCTTGTGATTCCAGTAGCACCTCTGCCTTTGGCAACCTTATTGTTGTCCCTCTTTTTCCTGCCTGATGATGATGGGAAGCAAGTGTTGACTGAGTCAGTGTCCAAGTCACAGTCTTGGTCTCCCCAATGGCGAAGTACCTGGGAAAACACCACTTTTTCAGGTGAAAATGCATTCATGCATGGGTTAATGGATGTAAATTTGCAAAATAAATTTGCATCTCCAACTGTCATAAGATATATGTTTATGTCTCAGTGATCATTATATATCCCCCCCTTAAAAAAAATAATCCCTTTGTAAAAAAAATGTTTGAAGAGTTAACATCAATTTTGTGTGCCTTTCTTCTTTTTGGTATTTGCAATATATACCTTTTCATCATAAATGGGCAAGGAAATGTCCAGGAAGGGCTCAATTTTCTGTGTGGTATGGTTGCAGTCTTCACACACAATGGTGTTGACAAACTGGCCACCAAAGACCCAGTCAGCAATGGTGTTCTGTGACACCCGCCGCATGTAAGCCCTTGTTTTGATTTTCACTTGGTTTTTACTGTCCTGATGGTCTTCAAATAAGGTTGAGTTTTGCAATGCCTCTGTCACACCCTGTTGGTATCTCTGCAAAATAAGAATAAAAAAGTCATTCATTTCAGCCCAATTATATGGAAGGATTTGTTTTGTATACATTGGGTTCTGTTGGGGCCTGGACCAGATGAAGTGTTGAGAAAAATGATCAGTGATTAGAGTTAGTTAACTAATATGGAAGCAAGAACTTCTTACAAAGAATAGTACAGTAATTTATTATTGACAAGATTTGAAGCAAACACCAGACAATGCAATACAGTATATCACAAAGTGCACAAGACACAACACAGAGAAACTTTGCCTGGCACAAAATTCTGAGATTAACTCAACAGGGCAACTTGGGTGCTAAGTTATTTCTGATGCATGCCAAGAATATTTTTCTGGTTCTTTTAAAGGCTATATATTGAATAGGCATGACTGACACAATGAAAAAGGAGTAAAGGGGAGGGAGTGCAAAAACTATTGGACACCAGATATTACCTTCTCTTGCCAGGGTTTGAAAAGATAACCAGATGTTTGGCATCCTTAACCAACCCTTTCTTTACTAAACACTCATTGCATGACCAGAACTGATCATAACTTTGTGGATTAAACACAAAGTAGGAAGAACCATTCTTAAGGCTGCAAGTTTGTTTCTTTCAAATGGAGAAATCAAACACTTGATGGCAGACACCAGGAGTTCTTTTTACTATTTATAGGACTTTTAGGTTTGTCATTTGGATGTTTTCAAATTAACCCACAGTGAATGGATTCCATATTATTTACTGAGGTTTGAACTGATGTGGTACATTAAGCTGCAAAGCAATAGAGCTCAGCACTATTATATTATTCAGAAAGCAATGAGGAGGTTTTTGTACAGAAGAGCTAATTTTCCTTTTGATTTTGGTATTACAGTAATTTAAGCAGTCCATGCTCTTCATCACCAGTAATCTGGAGCTTGGTCATCCTATATGCTTACTGGATTTTCCCTTTTATACATGTATATATACAATTGAAGTAATCCTGACATATCTATAAGCTGACAACAATTTGAGAGCAAGACATTCCAAGGTCTATAAACCCCAGAACATCACATTTATGTTCTCTTTTATTGATTTGAAAGACAATTCCAAAGTTTAATTTCAAGAACTGATAAAATTCATGTTCTTGGACAGAAAATTGTGTAATGTGAAAAATTATTCAAGATTCTTGTCTTGAAATTAAGGCCAAATCAGTAGTAGATAAGATGAATTTTAGGCTGTTTTACTGTCCATATAGTGCCAACAATTTGTCAATTTCAAAAAGTTGAGAGCTTTTAGTTCAGACTATACAGTATTTTAAAGTTCATGACTTGCCAAAATGTAATCAGATTCTGAAGGTCTGTCCATGATTTTCATGGAATTCTGGAATGCAATATTTTTTCAATTGGAAATTGAGCCAAATCATGTTTTTCATATTTGCAATTCAATTAACATAATATAACAGATCATGTAACAGATTATGTGTGGGTATCCTCTGTATTTTTCTATCCATACAGTTGGCAAGGACATTGAACTTATTTGTTGCTGATGATGGATACTTTATTGAAAGTTAGGAATAGTTTACCCAATTAGTACCCTGGTTTAAAAAATTACAAGAAACAATAATGATTAGTGGCTCAGTTAAATTGGCTGCTTCATTGTGCTTCCCAATAAGTGAGCTGCATCAGGTTGAAGTCTGTTATCATCAGGAAATTACTCAATGATAAATGTGAGCAGTAAAGAGTCGTACAAAAGAACAATTCTGAACCAAGTTGTAGAAAAATAATATATGACTCAGGTGCAAACAAAGAAGACAAGAAAAAATGAATAGATTAATTACTCTTCCTGACCATGCGATTCTTGAGGTTAAAATATATTCAAGAATATATTGGATCATATATTGACCTTCATTGAAGGACGTAGCCTTGCACCCTGTCCTCCCCTCCCAGATATGCCGCTCAATTAAGAAGTACCCTTCCGGGTACTCTGACATTGTGTACCAATTTTCTGGAGTATATAAACTCCAGTAGCATCTTCCCAAAAGCAGGCATCAGTGCACTGACCAGTGTGTAGAGATCCCAAGTAGGAATAGGTCTTGTCTTGTGTGATTTATTGGCAAAAGGCAATAAATAATAATCCGATGGAAGACTATGTTTCACTACTTCTCCTATAAAGGGTGAACTTGAACTTCAACTGTAAATATCAAGAAGAAGTCTTGAAGTGTAAATATACACAACAAGTCTATAATAGCCAAGGTGAAAATAAAATTTACCACATGCTTCATCATTTTGGGAGCTTAATAATCGGCACTAAATTTCAATTCAAGAATTTATACAGGGGAGAATGTTAATATGAAAAGAAAGAAGGAATCTTTGAAACGCATCATTCATTTTTTATGCTTGCAAGAAAGTTTAACTCACCTTTGATTCCTCCACTCGGACTTGGTCCAATAGATGGCGCAGGAGCTCTTGCGCGTCATGCTGGTCCCCACCTCGGAACACCCACGCTCTTTGACACAGTTGCACAAAGAGCGTAGACGGATTGACTGGACCCCGTAATGGCGACGCCGTCAGCATCAGCTTAACTTGTCTGGCCAGAACTTGGAGTAGTCCTTCAGACTCTGGCAGATCTATTTTCAATGAACCCTGCTTGAAAAAAAAAAAACAAGCATCTGTTTATAGTCAATAGTCATTTCTTTCAAAAAATGATGGAATTCATTGTTCATGAATTTGTATGTAGTGTGGAGCATTTTCTTTCAAAATCTATGTAGTGAATAATTTTTGTTCAACAGGAATGTGTCAAATGGGTGTTTGGGAAAATTTTTTGAACATTGCAGATTTTTGAAAATTACAAGTGGGAAAAAAGCTTTCAAATTAAGTTTATCTATCCATCAAGGATCTGTCAGGTTTGCTAGACTGTGGTCCTGTATATACATACTTTAAACCAGCTTAGCTTCATCCTTTGTGCAACAGGACAAGTTTCCTCATCCACAGTGAACAGTTCAGGAAGTTTAAATAAACTCATGCATATTTAAATGCAATTGTCCTTCATCAGTTTACTTTAGAGGTCCTCTTTTGATGAGAAAATTTATAATTTTTACATTCCAAGCACAGGATCTCTTTGAAAAGAGGCCTTTATTTTTGTTTGTTTTCAGCAGCATGATATTGTATAGCTGTATCCCAGTAAATAATTTGGGCATCTCAGCTCATGCTGTTGAGGCATTGGCATGTTTTTTTGTACTTGATTGATGTGGCAATGGCACACCAATGCCTCTGCTGCCATAGACAATTGCCTCAGGGCATTGCTTGCCAATGCAAGGAGATTGCCATTGCAGGAATGCCAATATTGATAATCAAAGGCAATGTTTGTCTGCCAATCACAAAGTGATGCCAAGGTATTGCCACATCTGACAGCAATAAAACAAGTGAAAAAATACTTTTCACATTCAATTGTTATTTAATGTATTTCATTTTTTCCTTTTCTTGTGCTGTGAACTTTTTGGTATATTTTTGTTCATTCACTGACATCTGCTCAAATCCATCTGTATGCTTTATATACTGTACTTTCAAGGACACTATGTACACAATAAGTCATTCCTGAAGGTTCCATTTCTTTGTATTTGAATTCCTGAGAGATTTTGTGATGCTCCTATAGGTTTTGAATTTTGACCATTTGAGTGAGAGTCAGTCTCCTTCAGACCTTCACCTCTGCCTATGCAATCACAAACTAGATAACATGCATATAGTTCAGTTACCTTTGCTAAAATGTTGAAAATTCCTATTTCTTTAAGAAATCAGAAGATATATGGTATATACATTATTTGAGGAGAAAATGTGCTTATTAATTTATTTTCTATATGTTAAAAACCTCATACATTTCAATCATTAAAAAATCATGGCTTCTTCTACCTTGATGAAATAATTATAAAAATATTTCTTGTAAAACCTATTCTTTTAATAAATGAAAATTTCAGCAATATTCAATAAATTTGCTGTGACAAATGTAGAGTCAAACTTATCTTCACAGCTCTGAAGAATAGCTATATACTGTATACTGCTAATAATTGATGCAATGTACATAAAATGTTCCTCAAATTTTGAAGGTCTGTAAACCAATTGGTAATGAAGATAGAAGGGCATTTAAAAAAGCAAATTTCCCTGGAATGAGGCCAATCAAAGTTTCTGCCATTTCTACCCAGTGATCTTAAACATCACTGGCTACTGGCAATGTTTAAATGTGCTCAATCATCATTCCTGGCTGCAAGGAGAAACCTTGATTGGCCTCATTGATGGGGAGCATTTGCTTGTTTTAAATGCCCTTCTACCTAACTACCTTAATTAGCAAACTTGATCTACAAAGTTCAAGGAACATTTTATACATTGGATAATATTTTAAGAGCTTGTGAAAATTCTTCAGAGCTGAATCAGAGGGAACTGCAATGTTTGATAAACATAACAATTCAGCAGGGTTGTTAATGGTGCCACAACCAAAGCCAACCAAATATACAGCAGTGTATCCATTTTTATTGAACAAATTCATTCTAATCTTGATCAGCATTCCATGAAGAATGATTAAATTTTTATAACTGTGTAAGTAGCTAAATGAAAGAGGATATATTGATTTTTGGCTTACTTCAGACTGATGGTTGGCATGGAAAGAAGCTCATCATATTACTTTTTAATTGGTAATTGCTTTTGAATGAAAGAGTTTGGGCATTCATTCCAACAGCAATTTAGCTTTATTCATAATGTATTTACCTTATTTCTTTACATAGGCAGATGTTATCTATTTTTTGTCTGCTGGTGAGAATTCAAATGGTCTGGGAAAAGATTGCGTGCATACAGAACAAACACATTTTTTTGATTGGATTTTCTTTGGTACTGTGTTTGTCCATTGACTTGTTATTTGTATATGCATTTGAGATGAATTATAACAGTATTACAATAATTTCAAAAAAATAGAATTGAAATCCTACACATAGAGTTGTGATTTCCCTTATTGCGATTGCAATTGGTAATAATACAGAGAAATCAATTGCAATTAAGATTGGGGATTCAAAACATTAGTTATACTTACTTGAAATCGCACTTTTGATTGGCTGAAAAAATGTGGAGCTGAAAAAGTTTGAAGTTCAAAAAGTTTGGAGCTGAAAGCATTTGGAGCTGAAAATTTTGGAGCTGAAAAAGTTTAGATCTGAAAAAATTTGAAGCTGAAAAAATTTGGAGCTGAAAAAAGCTGGAGTTGAAAAAACTTTGGGGCTGAAAAAAGCTGGAGCTAAAAAAATTTATATCTGATAAAATTTGGAGCTAGAAAGAGTTGAAGTTGAAAAAGTTTGGAGCTGAACATTTTTGGAGCTGAAAAAATTTGGAGCTGAAAAAATTTGGAGCTGAAAAAATTTGAAGCTCAAAAATTTGGAAGCTCAAAAAAATTTGAGGTGAAAAAATTTGGAGCTGAAACTTTTGGAGCTGAAAAAGTTTGGAGCTGAAAATGTTGGAGCTGAAAAAAGTTGGAGCTGAAAATTTTTGGAGTTCAAAAAGTTTAGATCTAAGAAAATTTGGAGCTGAAAAAATTTAGAGCTGAAACTTTTGGAGCTGAAAAAGTTTGGAGCTGAAAATTTTTAGAGTTCAAAAAATTTGGAGCTGAAAAAGTTTGGAGCTGAAAATTTTTAGAGTTGAAAAAATTTTGAGCTGAAAAAATTTGGAGCTGAAAAATTTAGAGTGGAAAAAAGTTGGAGCTGAAAATTTTTGCAGTTCAAAAGTTTAGATCTAAGAAAATTTGGAGCTGAAAAAATTCAGAGCTGAAACTTTTGGAGCTGAAAAAGTTTGGAGCTGAGAAAATTTGGAGCTGAAAAAGTTTGGAGCTGAAAATTTTTAGAGTTGAAAAAAGTTGGAGCTGAAAATTTTTGGAGTTCAAAAAGTTTAGATCTAAGAAAATTTGGAGCTGAAAAAATTTAGAGCTGAAACTTTTGGAGCTGAAAAAGTTCGGAGCTGAAAATTTTTAGAGTTCAAAAAATTTGGAGCTGAAAAAATTTGGAGCTGAAAAAATTTGGAGCTGAAAAAGTTTGGAGCTGAAAATTTTCAGAGTTCAAAAAATTTGGAGCTGAAAAAATTTGGAGCTGAAAAATTTAGAACGGAAAAAAGTTGGAGCTGAAAATTTTTGGAGTTGAAAAAGTTTGGAGCTAAAAATTTTTGGAGTTCAAAAGTTTAGATCTAAGAAAAGTTGGAGCTGAAAAAATTTAGAGCTGAAACTTTTGGAGCTGAAAAAGTTTGGAGCTGAGAAAATTTGGAGCTGAAAAAATTGTGAGCTGAAAAAATTTGGAGCTGAAAAAATTTGGAGCTAAAAAATTTAGAGCTGAAAAAATTTGGAGCTGAAAAAATTCGGAGCTGAAAAAATTTGGAGCTGAAAAAATTTGGAGCTGAAAATTTTTGGAGTTCAAAAAGTTTGGAGCTGAAAATGTTGGAGCTGAAAAAAGTTGGAGCTGAAAATTTTTGGAGTTCAAAAAGTTTAGGAAAAAAATGCATGGATTGTGTTAAGTTGATAAAAAAAAACGTTAGGTGCGGATTTAAAAGTAACATCACCAAACAAATGGCCATGGTTTTCCATCCAAGATAAACATTCATCAGTTTCAAAAACTAGAAAACAGTCAGCATCCTCAACCCCACTATCATACATGAAAAATCACAATTATGACAAGTAAAGAAGTGGAAGAATGTGTGAATTCATTTTTCTCCTCAATGGAGAAATGAATTTTTAAATTTTCACAGATGAAGAAAAAAATTCCAGATGAATGAATATCGTTTCTACCACTTCTTCCAGAAGTGAGTTCATTTCAAATGATGATACACTGCCAGAAAAATGAAAGAAAAACTGAAAAATATTAAAAATCAATTGAATGCATTTAAGCCTAAAATATCAAGGTTCTTCATAGGAGCTTGATACATATGCTGAACATGCCTGAGTTATTCCAGGTAGTGTCTTTTCATAAACGAGATCTTAACAAATTCTTTTCATGATCCCAGAAAAAGTAAAGAGGAAGGTTTGGATTTACTCACAATACTTGGCTTATCACCACCATCATTGGTATTCCTGCAAACAGGAGCTGGAATAGTGACCCCCTTCTGGCCTTGGATGTGCAAATCCAAGATTTGTGTCAGGGTGTGACACTGGCTCAATGCTTGAAAAGTGGCATTGAAAAAACAGGTATTGCCATTGTTCATCAGCCCCTGAGGAAAACAGCAAAAACTATAAAATGTGACAAAATGGAAATGAAAATAGAGCAACTCATTTTCTACATGTGTATACAAACAATAACATTTTATGGACATTGTAAATAGATTACAGCTAGGAGGAATTATTCTAAAACAAAGTGATAATGCCAACAAAATGGTACATTGATCTTAGAATAAACAGCATGGATATAGTCAACCCCCGCACAATGGACTGAATTCATGCAATAGACTATAGTCTGTTGTTTTAAAAGTATTTTATGGAAATTCAGTTATTGAAAATTAATTTTATTTTTTACCATTAATTTTAAACCAAGATAAGTCTGTTGTGCAGGTTTAGTCTGTTGTGTGGGAGGATAAACCACCTCCAGAGGAAGTCTGTTGTCTAAAAATCCATTGTGTAGGAGCACACATTACCCAAAAGAGATCCAGCATTGCTTGGAGGAGGGCTTTTCATAACAGAAAATTATTTTGTTCTCAGCAATTTGTCTTTTTTGATTTTGCCAAAAACCATCATAAACCCTTCTTATTTGGTTTGTTTATCATCTGATAAAGGCCGGAAGAACTGAACATTGCATACCCATTCAATTACTGATGTTAGAAATCTAGACTTTTCATTGTAAGCTCATTTTGAAACATATAATCTGAGTAATAATATTTTTGTGTCACTGGAAGTATAGGTTCTAACAAAGTTTCATCTTTCATTGGTTAATTTCTGTATAAACATCCTTCCAAGAGTGAAATTCAGAGATATAAACTGTATTAAGCAACCTAATTTTTCAATATTGTGTAGTTCTATTGGTGCACTCCAGCAGAGTGTAAATAAAGGAATGGGAGTAAAACCTGTATGAAACAATTCAATTGTACTCTCCAAGCTGTTTCATGACACTATGTCTGGAGGATCTTGAATTAAATCAAGCAATTTGACATTATTTCAGCAGCTCACCCTGATGTCAGGTAACTCAGCAGACTCCACAAATCCTCCTTTCTTCTCTTTCCAGTTTTGTCCACTCATCATATCACAGTCTCCTGATGTATCCTGAAGGTCCTTGGTGGAACCAAGCAGTGGGGCTTGGTCAACTAGAATTTGAGAAAATATGCTCTCCATTTTTAATAGTCTATACACATTGGCTTTTATTAAACTTGAATGAAAAGCTAAAAGATGCTTTCTTCTTAGTCAAGAGAAAGATAACTTTTGTGATTGTGGTCTTATAATAATGGCATGCAAACATTCTTAAAGGAAAAAGTTCATACCAAGAACCAGAAGTTTCCAATCCTGATGAAACACATTCAGCAGTAGGTCAATCAGAAGAGCACTGTAGTCAACAATGAAGAATATTGTTCTTTTCTATTGTTGCAGTTGCTTTTTTCTATGAATATAGGATGCAGCTTCAACAGAAAAATTCATGAAAATTAACTTCAACTTTTGATCATGTACTCAAGCAGCTATATAAGGATTTTATGTTGATTTGAATGTTTACAAACATCAGTAGAGTATTTGGTCATAGGAGGCTTTGTTTGATTTGATTATCACATTTATTATGATGAAAAGGGATATGTTTCTTTCCCAAAAGTAAACTAAACTTTGTTCAAAAAGTGGCAATCATAGTAGGCATACAGTACAGTATTTTATTCATTTGAAAAAAGTGACATGCAGGTAACTTTTCAGACATAATATGACAGGTATATAAAAGGTATAAGCTGTATCTGTAATTCTGTTTCGAAAGCACTCAAATTTATCAATCATTTGAGTCTATATCCAAAATGTCATCTATCAAATTTTAAAAATAACATTGGCTTTAAAGTGTTCCCTTGTGTTTTAACCCACATATGCCAATAAAATTGTACACATTTTGACATTTTGGCATCATCATGATGATATCATTTTTGATAATGATATCATCATGTCAAAAATACATATGTCAAAAATATGTGCAAAATTTCAGCATATAGCATGGTAATGAAACATTCAAATTTCAAATATAAAGTTTATAATAGGTGCTGAAATAGGATTGACTTGAAAGTTTAATGGCATGATTTTGTTATTTAAGCACTCTACCAGCATAAACACTCAAATTTTTGAGTCTTTGAAAAACTTTGGACTGAACAATGTATGTCCATTTTCAACCTGAAATTTAAGAGAAAACAAGTATACACATGATATTTGAGTGACCATGGTAATGCCAGTCATTTCTATTCACAGGAGTGTTGTCACATGGTGAATTGTAGACCAATTCAAAGACTATATCCACTAAGAATAATATGTAATATAGCATATAGTTTACCTTGATTGGACACAGGAATTAGCCTTGGTTCAGCAGGTAGTCCCAAATCATAAGCAGAATCAGTTCTGCTGTAATCAGCACCAGGATCCACCCAGTTCTTCACCAGTCTCACCAAACTGGCAATTGGTGCTGTATTTGTGAACCTACACGCGATGCACCTTCAGCAAGTTGGTCAAAGACCATATCAAAATTGCCCCCTTTTAATCTGGATATTTCTTTATCTTTCTTTTTCTGGAAAAGAAAAACCTTGAACTGTTATTGATTTACCTCCAGATCCAATGAAAACTGTCACTAGGAGTTTCTTCTGTCATGTTTTGCATCAAGTGGAAGATTCAAGGAGAAAGATTATAGTTAAAGAATGACAAATTAAAAACCAGTGAAAATAAGGCAGAATCAAATTTTGATGGCACTGCTCTCTGCTTCACTTTCCAAAGACAGGTGCTGCACATTTTTGCTCAGAAAAATATTCAAGAATATGCTCATCATTTGACAAAATTATCTTGATACAAGTAATTCAGCCCCTATGAACCTGAATCCAACAGACAATTCACAATCTTTGGTTTTGATTCATTGAATAACATACAGTAACATTGCAAGGAAAAAAGGAGGATGGACAAAAAATATGACAATCAAAAATCTTGAAAAATTAATGTGGTGCTTTTTGAATAATGATTTAATTGAACTTGAACATGGAAGTCAATCAAATTATATTTGATTCTCTTGAAATGTATGTACATTTTTATGGGGTAATTATGTTACTTCCAACTTTGTTCCCCTTGCATCTGAATATAGAATGTCTATTCTCATAAAAGAAGGTTTACAGAGTTCTAGAGTATTGTTTTGCCTTTAAATTCAAGTTTTTTCATTTTTGTATGGTTTTTCCACAAAGTTCAAAAATACAAATGATCCTGCATCATAATGATATAACATTTTACTAAATAAACTCAATTAAGAAAAACTTGCCTGCAGTGCCAAGCAATGGCCATATACAGTAGTGTACATTTATAGTCAACCATCACTTTGTGCCACAAAGTTCACTTGCTCAACATGAAAAAGTATTATTTTTATGTACTCATTTAAAATACTGCACACAAAATTTAGCAAAACTCTCATTTACATGGTCCAAGGAATGGTACTGTTGAGTCAATCACATCTCCTATAGTGTCACAACTTTAATCTGAACAAACAATCATATGTTGTATCAATGTCTCAATATTTGAAATAAACTCAATTATGTGCAATTCTTATTTACATGTGCCATCTGCCAAGAAATGCTCAAATTTGCAGACTGGCCACACTGAATCAAGAAATGAATCCTACTTAAAAAATATAATATGTTTCCAACTCTTATTTGGTGCTGCAAAAACAACATTACTGTATGTCACTGCCAAAATTTTAAAGATCAAATTTATACATCCTGCAGCCTTGGCATAAATAGTCCCTACTTATATGCTTAAAAATGCCTCATATGGTGACATTGGATCAAGAATGGACTCATACACCAAATATATGTTTCCTGCACTCTTTATTGCTGGTGCTGCAAACACATCAAAAGGTTATAAGTATCAAATTAACATTTCCTGCAATCTCTGCATGAAAACCCCCAACTGATGAATGACTGAACTCCATCAGGCACTACATTCGAATTATCAACTCCATCAACAACCAACACACACTTCCATATAATCTACACAGGACCAGCAGGTCTTCATGCAGTAGACAACAAGATGAGACTCAGCAGAGTCACTATAGCAAGAAGTCCCACAAGGAATTTCAGGACACACTGGGGCCAGCTACTGCTGCTGCTGCTGCTGCAGCATGGAGAAGACCCAGTTCTGCAGCCGCGTGCTACAAAAGGCCTATACAAGCCCCGCCTCTTTATTCGTTTCTCTCTAAATAAAAGAAACAACTCCTTCATTTCCAGACAAAAGACTCAAGTATACACACTCACACAGAGAGATCAAGACCACAGTTCTACAAACGTGACTTCTGGTGACAAGGGGGGGGGGGGGGGTTAATCCTCTTTAAAAACCAGTGAAAATAAGGCAGAATCAAATTTTGATGGCACTGCTCTCTGCTTCACTTTCCAAAGACAGGTGCTGCACATTTTTGCTCAGAAAAATATTCAAGAATATGCTCATCATTTGACAATATTATCTTGATACAAGTAATTCAGCCCCTGAACCTGAATCCAACAGACACTTCACAAAATTTGGTTTTGATTCATGGAATAACATACAGTACCATACATTGCAAGGAAAAAAAGGAGGATGGACCAAAAAATATGGCAATCAAAAATCTTGAAAAAAGCATCTGGTGCTTTCTGATTAATGATTTCATTGAACTTGAATAACATGGAAGTCAATCAAATTATATTTGATTCTCTTGAAATGAATGTACATTTTTATGGGATAATTATGTTACTTCCAACTTTGTTCCCCATGCATCTGAATATAGAATGTCTATTCTCATAAAAGAAGGTTTACAGAGTTCTAGAGTATTATTTTGCCTTGAAATTCAAGTTTTTTTCATTTTTGTATGGTTTTTCCACAAATTTCGAAAATACAAATGATCCTGCATCATACTGATATAACATTTTACTAAATAAACTCCATTAAGAAAAACTTGTGCATGTAGTGCCAAGCAATGGCCATATACAGTAGTGTACATTATTTATAGTCAACCATCACTTTGTGCCACAAAGTTCACTTGCTCAACATGAAAAAGTATTATTCTTATGTACTCATTTAAAATACTGCACACAAAATTTAGCACAACTCTCATTTACATGGTCCAAGGAATGGTACTGTTGACTGTTGAGTCAAACACATCTCCTAGTGCCACAAATTTAATCTGAAAAAAACAATCATATGTTGTATCAATGTCTCAATATTTGAAATAAACTTAATTCTGTGCAATTCTTGTTTACATGTGCCATCTGCCAAGAAATGCTCCAATATGCAGACTGATCACACTGAATCAAGAAATGAATCCTACTTAAAAAATAGAATATGTTTCCTACTCCTTGGTGCTGCAAAAACAACTGTACTCTATTTCACTGCCAAAATTTTAAAAATCAAATTTATATATCCTGTAGCCTTTGCATAAAGAGTCCCTACTTATATGCTTTAAAATGCCCCATATGGTGACTTAGAAGATCAAGAATGGACTCATATACATCAAATTATGTTTCCTGCACTCTTTATTGCTGGTGCTGCAAACACATCAATGCCAAAAGGTTATAAGTATCAAATTAACATTTCCTGCAATCTCTGCATGAAAACCCCCAACTGATGAATGACTGAACTCCATCAGGCACTAAATGAATTATCAACTCCATCAACAACCAACACACACTTCCATATAATCTACACAGGACCAGCAGGTCTTCATGCAGCAGACAACAAGATGAGACTCAGCAGAGTCACTATAGCAAGAAGTCCCACAAGGAATTTCAGGACACACTGGGGCCAGCTACTGCTGCTGCTGCTGCTGCTGCAGCATGGAGAAGACCCAGTTCTGCAGCCGCGTGCTACAAACGGCCTATACAAGCCCCGCCTCTTTATTCTTTTCTCTCTAAATAAAAGAAACAACTCCTTCATTTCCAGACAAAAGACTCAAGTATACACACTCACACAGAGAGATCAAGACCACAGTTCTACAAACGTGACTTCTGGTGACAAGGGGGGGGGGGAGTTAATCCTCTTACTTGGTTCACGAGGGACGCCCCACGTATATACTTATATACCAGACTGCTGCTGCTGGCGGTCACGTTGCTGAAAAGTGGTATACGCCTTTGTCGTCAGTCATCGATCCTTATTCCGGGGTAACCACCAGGAAAGTGTATATATATGTATAGGGAGGTTTTATTTTTCTGGAACGTTTCCTTGTATTATAGCTTGTCTGCTGCGTAGTATGTGGCTTCCATACTTAAGAGATCAACAAATTCTGACTATAAAGGTAAAGCTGTTTATTTGTGATACTATACTGTATACATTTGTAGAGTTTAAAATACCAGGGTTGGTTCATAAAAGTTGATAAAGGGCCACTTGCTGTAATTGGAGGTGGATGGAATTTTTATTTTGCTCTTCAATTCCTCAATGGTGTCTAATGATGAAAATTTCATAATTATTCATTTTTCATTTAACTTGTTGTCAGACTTTTGAATGAGTATCAAAAATATAGAAGAATCAAGATGTCTCCTGAGTTCTTATATATAATACTTTGCCATTGAATTGTATTAATATAGGTGAACATAATAATAACTCAATAATAATAACTCCATTATTATTGTTATAATAACTCCATTATTATTGTAATAATAACTCCATTATTATTGTAATAATAACTCCATTATTATTGTAATAATAACTCCATAATAACTCAAACCTTGGTAAGTCAAAAACCCCAAATTTCAATTTTTTCAGGTCCTGTCTGAATCCCCTTGGAACTAATGCATTTAAAACCTCCTTATAAGTCAAAGGCTTTTTCCGTCAAACCCCAATAAGTTGAATTTTCTGTGGCCTGTTGGCTTTTATTTTCTTGACACAGGAAAGAAAAAAATGCAATGAAAGATGCATTGATTTGTTTTAAAATGAGGTGAGAGACTTTGGCAAATGAACCCTGCCTCTGAGTTCAGTATGCTTTCAACTCATTTAAGAAGTAATTTCAGCCTCAGAGGATTACAATTTACAATTTTGAGCAATTTTTTTTGTTCCCAACACATAAGGGCTTTGTATTGTAGCTAATTTCAAAACCTCTCTAAGTTGAATCTTCTTGCTGCGCTGGTCCCTTGAAGTTTGACTTAGAGAGGTTCAACTGTACTATGTTTGACACTTTCATTCAGTGAAGAGATTTCTTATCCATATTGCTAGGTTAAATCAGTAACAACTCCTTATTGAGATTCTTCAGAAGAAAGTAAGTGTTTATTCTGTTATCCATGAGAACAGGCAAACATTTAGATCAACATATTCAGATAATGTCCAGAGAGCAATGAGCATGCATATTACAACAGAGATAAGATATTCTTACAGACGTTGCAGCATGGAATTGGGAAATGCTGGTCAGACCCAGATCTGGCCTGGTTTTGGGCCAATAAGTTGCATACTGTAACTTGGTGGTGCATGACTTGATGGTGCAACATGTCATTGGGATTAACATAAAAGTACAATGTATGCAACTGCCTCATGCATTGTGTGCTAACAAGAAGGATTAAGAGAAACTATATTTGATGACAAATAGTTTCCATGGGCAATAAAAAGTCCTCTTATTTTCCCATGAGTTCACATGCATGGTATGTGTATTTCACATGTATATGATCTTTTCTTTTGGTCAACCTCATAATTCTTGATGTGACAGGAATTTCTACAGACCTACTTGACTGTAAACAGTCTAAAAATTTAATTTCATAAACCAGGTAATTGCCCAATTTCTGTTGCTTTGCTGTTATTGGTGACTTAAATAAGGGATTTATGTGTGATATGTTCTCAAAATTCTTATTACAAATTGCTGACCCTGTGAATATGATTAAATTCCTGCATGCCATAGTATAGCTAGAAATTATCTGTCAGTATTTCAGTACCTAGATTAATTGAATTAAAATTTCTATTATAATACTCATTTCCAGGCATGGCAAACTTTGTGAAGTAATTTTTGAAGTCCATATTTCATTTTGAAACTGTCTTGAATTTCTGTTGCTGATGAATAAGGTCTGAAAATTGTGAACCATTGGCAAACAACTGGCTTGAAAAGTCAATGTAAAACTTATTTTTCATATCATTTTTAACAGTATTTTCAGGCATTGCTGCTGGCATATTTTTAGGCATTATGATGGAATTTTAGGAACTTCATATGTTGTTTACTCTTCCATTTGTGCATGAAGTAGTGACCTACTTTTGGATCCCAGTTGCTTCACACTCAGGGTTGTCAGATATTACCTCACATTCGTATTCCCTCTCTCATTGCCTCTCAGCAAAGTCCCCCTTTCTTCTGTGCTACCTATCTTATAAGAATCTGATATTTTTCTCAAGTGATAAGTATCCAGCAACCCTGAGCGTGGAGCAACTGGCATTCATAAGTAGGTCATTCCTTCACAAAGACAAGAGTAAACCACACATGAAGTTCCTGAAACTCCATCACAATGCCTAAAAATATGCTAAGAATGCCTAGAAATATAAATAATATCATATATAAGTATTGATTTGACTTTTCAAACCAGTTGTTTTCCAATGATTCAATTCAATTTTGAAACTTTCACGATATTTTTTAATTTTTCAGAGAACATTCAGCCACTTAAATTCAACAGACAGTTTCAAAATGAAATATGGACTTCAAAAATTACTTCACAAAGTTTACCATGCCTGGAAAAGAGTACAGTATAATAGTAAAAAGTTTAATTTCCTTATAAGCAACATGCTTTCCACCCATTCATATTAATTTTGAAAATTTGATACACATTTTGATAATATCTGCAAAATTCAGCCACAAAATAAAATAGACTGTTTAAAAAATGAAGTAAGCACTTCTAAATCTCCTTCACAAATTCTACCATGCCAGGAAATATGAATAAAATACGTTAAAAAAAATTTGATAGACATACAAAGCCACTTTGTTTGACCCATTATTCACATGAATTTTGTACCTTTCATGTAAATGTTGGGTTTTCTTTAGTAAATTCGGCTAAAAATATTCAAAAAACAGTTTAAAATTTTGAAGAGCAGCTCCTGAACTTCCTTGACATAGTTCACCATGCCTGGAAATAAGAATTAAACTTTAAAGTTAATTTCGAATGCACATTTGAAGCCACTTTCTTTACCCGTGCACATGAATTTTGAACCTTTGATGCAAAGGTTGGGTTTTTAGTAAATTCAGCCACAATTCAAAAACAGTCTTGAAATTTTAAAATAGCTGCCTCTAAATTTTCTTTGCAAAGTCTACATTGCCTGGAAAAATCAATAAAATTTAAGATATATATGACAATTCAAGCCATTTTTTCACCTACTCATATGATTTTTAAAATTTTTATATACTTATATGGGTTTATCAGTAAATTCAGCCAAAAAATTAAAACAAAAAACAGGTCAAATTTGTACACAGTATTAACGTGTGGAATTCCCTCACGAAGCCATGCCTGAAAAAATTGAAATCAAAATAATGATACTAAATTTCAAACAAGATGCAATTCTAAATCTTTGAAAAGCATGCATCTCATGGTAAATACAAAGTAGTGGTTGTGTCAACTTAAATGCATAACATGTTGGACATAATTCTTTAAATTGTGCATTAGTAAATGTAGGCAATAAATAATCCTCATTCCAAGCTAAATTGAACTGAGAATTATAAAAATAATTCAGTATATATATGTACTGTGCATTAATACTGATACAAGTATATGGATGGAATATGGGATAAGTAGGACTCATTATTTTTAATGTTAGATTTGAGTTTTCAAAGTATAAAATGATGGTAAGACTTCATGTAGTTATGAAATGCTAGTTATTGACAACTTGCTATATTTGTACTCATATGAAATCGCACAGTTTTTTATATATACTGTAGTACTGTACATAATGTAGCTCACTTAAGTCAGTTTGTAAACCATTGAATGATCAACAAGATTATTTTGAGCATATGGAATAATAGCAATCGCATTTTTAAAACAAACAGAAACCTGTGAGTGATATGAAGAATGAATTTCCCTTGAGGTTATTGTGATTATCAGTCGTATACCCTCCTACACCAAAAATGAAGTCAATCAATGAGTGGGGGGAACCTGCTGGCTCTGAAAGAGAAAGAGCCCTGTGAGGGAACGGCGCTCGAGGGGGGGAGCGGCGAGTGAGAATAGCCCTAGAGTTTGAGGGTCACGGAGTAGTAAGGTCGAATAAATCGGTCCTCGGCCAGCGTAGTTAAATAAGGAGATTTATATTCAGTTCCTTTCTCCAAATCACAACAGACTCGTCGTAACACAAACACAAAGTCACTTCAATAAGTCCAGGATAAAAACAGCTGATCCGTTTCAGTCAAAAGTAAAAGTCCGAATGCCGCTCCGGAGCGCTGGCTTCTACCGCGTCTCCTCCGATCGCGATAACCATCTGCTTCCTGGCAAAGCCGGGGTGGGTAGTCCAGTCGGC